GGACATATTTGGACCTTCCGGGCACTCTGCCCCCCCGGTATAAACCAGCCTCCAACACCCAGTCATCAAGGAGGGGAACAGGGAGGCAGGACAAGGCCATGTGTCCCAGATCCTCGTCAGCAGGATTATGGAGAAGAGCAATCAGAGTTGATTGATCTTTGAGTCTTGCCTGCTCTGACATTCTAGAATGTTCCTAAGCCATCCCCTGACACGTACTCTAACCCTACACCTCTGTCGTCTCCTAACCTGGACCCTCCACAGTCCCCGTTCCTAAGCCGGCCCCTGACACGTACTCTAACCCTACACCTCTGTCGTCCCCTAACCTGGACCCTCAACAGTCCCTGTTCCAAACCTACACCTCTGTCGTCCCCTAACCTGGACCCTCAACAGTCCCTGTTCCAAACCTACACCTCTGTCGTCCCCTAACCTGGACCCTCCAGAGTCCCCGTTCCTAAGCCATCCCCTGACACGTACTCTAACCCTACACCTCTGTCGTCCCCTAACCTGGACCCTCAACAGTCCCTGTTCCAAACCTACACCTCTGTCGTCCCCTAACCTGGACTCTCAACTGTCCCTGTTCCTAAGCCAGCCCCTGCCCCAATTCTAAGCCGTCCCCTGACAGCCCCTAGAAGGTGGCTAATGCTCATTGCCTGATTAGGCATGGGAACCAAAAAGGCTAGTTGCTGATGGACTAACAACAGAGGAGAAAAAAGCCAACATTTATTAGGTGTCTCTTAGCCGGGCATTGTGCTAGGCATTTTATACAGTTAATTCTTGAAAGAACCCTGCAAGGGAGGTGCTGTTTACAGGGAAGGGAACTGAGGCTCTGAGAAGCTCAGCAGCTTAACCAAGGTCACGTAGCTAGTATGTAGCTAGTTTCCAAAACTCATGCTCTTTCCACAGTATCACGATCCCAGGGTCTGGAATTGACAAAGCAATACTATATCGTGGGGAAAAACATAAAGGGTAATGACCACGAGGTGGAAAAAAGTCAATGAGGACACCCATAAAGGTGGCCCCTCGTTTTGGAGAATGGTCAATGAGGTGAAGGCACCTCAGATGACAGAGAGGGCAAAGGTCATCCAGGCAACCCTACCAGCTGCTGTGTGAGGCGCTTCATGAAGTCCGTCTGTTCTGAGACAGAATATGTGCCCTTCCAGCCTTGCTCCTGCCGCCCTTATTTTCTATTAGTCTTAAAAAAAATAGGCCAATGATAATAGTAATTTGAACATTGCTACCATATATTATGGTCTGTTCTTTCCAGCACTGTGTTAAGCACTTTTAATGGATTATCTCATTTACACCCCATATCAAGCCTGTGAAACAGACACTATTATCCCCATTTTACAGCTGAGAAAACGGAAGCTTAGAAAAGTTCATTGATAGGTGGTGAAACAGAGGTTTGAACAGAGTGGTCTAATTTCTAACTTAGGAGCCTGCACTCTCCTACCTTCAGGGTAAGCTTTCTTTGCAGGCTTTCTGACCAGCACACTCACTCGCTCTCACGAGAGTGAGACACACACACACACACACACACACACACACACACACACACACCCCTCATTTTCTGTCTACTCCCTTTCTCTCCTTCCCTGTCTCCCTCCACTGAAGAGATGCTGAAAGCTAACCTCCGTTGTGCTCTCCTAAGTCACAGCTGAGACGGCCCCGCCCGCCCTTTCCAGGTTCTCAGGGCGAATCCCAAAGTAACCTGCCCGGCATCTACCTTCTCTCTTCCATGAGAAAGACCTCTCCAGTCCCCTTGCATGGCTCTAAGCTGCCCTCACTTCTCCCCCATCACTGAAGGGAACTGGTCACCCCAGCTTCCTCTGAGGGGAACTCCAGGAGCCTTGTCTATATCTCTGAGGTTGGGTTGTTTTTTAGGCCATTCAGCCCTGGGTTCCTTCTTAAAGCCTTGAACCTTTTATTCTGGTTGCCCCTGAGTCCATTCCAAACATTTCGCCTTGCATCTAAAAAGGGTTTCAGGAGAGAGGGTACATCTGGGGCGCCTGCCTGTCTAAACAACTGAAGATAAATGAGAAGGCATCTGGCGAGCCCTGGCTCCTGCGGCGTTATTCATCTGCAACATAAGAGCAGCACAGAGTCATGGGCAGCCATGGGCAAGCAGAGCCCTACTTAGGAAGATGCCAAGCAGGGGAGATGGGAGACCGAGAGCTGCTGAGCCTAAAATGCCTGCAGAGGAGGAGGAGAAGTTCCCAGGCAAGGAGGGCTGGCCGCTCAGAGACACAGCCACCATGACCACAGTGCACGGGATCAGGAGTGAATGTGAGTAATCTGAAATTTGAGGACAGCATTAAAACCACAGCCCAGGTGCAGAAGAGTGGGAAGAATGTGAGACTAAGCTAAGGGGATGGCCAGTCCAATAGCTGAGCACACAAACATGGACAACCTCACACGTGCACAGGCACGTCAACACGTGCCAGCCCGCCCAGTGGCATCCCTTTGATTCCAGCTTACTCATCCCTAAATTCACGGGTGACAAGCAGCTCTGGCAGAAGGATCCAGCCTCGCACTTCTCCATGCTGCTGTTCCATGGGTCTCAGTGCTGGGCTCGCCCAAGGCTGCCGTCCCTCCCCGTTTCTCTGCTCAAAGCAACCCACTTTCCTGTCTCTTGCTTCACTGTATGGTCAGCAGCTCCAGCCTCAGCTGCAGACGGTGCACTTGGGGGATGTCAAGTGTCCCCTCCAGCAAATAGACTGAATCTCCCAAACCTCAATCCTGAGCTGCCTCTCCATGGAGGGGGCCGCCAGGCCCTGGTGCCTCTAGAGGCCATTTGGACCCTCCGAAGCATCTGTTCTATTGCCAGCTGTCCTGCCTATAGCATCTCAGCCACAACACCCTGGGAGTGGTCTCCTTCCTTATTTCCTTTAAAGCCCCATCTTTCTTTGCCCTGGGAATGAGACCCCTCAGTGTCTGCCTTGTTCCCTTGTTCTAAGAGCAACACCCTGCCCTGGAGCCCATCTGTCCACCACCCCATCTCAGGCTCCTGCAGTCACACTGATGCCTCTCAACTTCCCTCTTCCCTAAGAGGTATCTGACACACAGGGCTGGGGCAGGTGGTGTAGACTTCCACCTACTCTGCTTATCAGGGACCTTTGTTTCCTATCCTCCTCCCCTTCACTACCAGCACCTCCTGGGTGTACAGTTCACCTGTGTGGTCTTTGGAAAAAGGGGAAAGGCAAACAGAGCATCCTCAACACAGAAAAGCACCCTTGGGATCCTCATCTCCCGTAGCCCTCCCAGTTTCTTCCTCCTCGTATATACTTCCTGTACTTGGGGGGTCTCACTGGGACCCCTTCCATTTATACAAACCTCCAAGTACTGGGTCTCTCACCTTCCATCCCACACAGCCCTGAATCATCCTCCCCCTACTCTTCATCTCATCAGTCACTGTTATGACTCAACAGCACACTCACGGTGTAGGATAAGGAAACAGCATCCTGGCCAAAGCATGGCATGGCAGACTAGTTAAGGCCCTACTCTTTGGCATCACGGAGGCTGAGTTTGAGTCCTGGCTCTGCTAATTACTAGCCAGTCATATGATCTATACGAGCGATAATGGGCGAGCTCCAGTTTCATCATCTATAAAATGGGGAAATTCCTAACACCCACCTCCTGGAATTGTTAGGAGAATTGATTGGCGTTATGCAGAAAGGCACGAGTACCATGCCTAGTGTAGAGGAAAATATCAATAAGCAGCAGGAGTTTTTATCAGCAAGGGAAAGTCATCATAGCTTTGACCTAAAAAGCAGGGACCAAGTCTCAACTGTGACCTTCTGTGGGGATTTGGAGGCAAGTGTCCATGAAGTCCAATAGCCTGGCCTGAAGGTCTGAATATCTGAGTTTCTAAATAATGGCAAAACATTACTGATAAACTGATTGGCGTCTTAGGATTTTAACTACTCATCTGTGAAGGAAACAGGAAATGCCAGCTCTGTGTATGACATGGAGAAGGGGGTGAGGATTAAGCAGGCAATGGCTTCTTTATAAGTTGTTTAGTAGAATGGTCCTCTGCTAGAAATCCGTTTCAACCATCATTTGAATACCCCTTTGACTATCATTCTCTTGATCACAGGAGAGAGTTAGTCCATTCTCCCTGTCAGCAGAGCCACTTGGGTCACTACGCTGGGCACCCTCTTGGTCGGGCCACTGATGACAGCTAGTGACAATGAGCATGAGAGTGCAGGGTCAACCTGGCTGTCCTGCTGGCACCTGTCTGTCCCCCCAGCAGGCCCGACGTGGAACAGTCGCATGGATGGTGTGCACATTTGGGCTCTGGGGGACACTAAGCCCTAAGACCACGGGTCCCAAATTCTCTGGCGGTACCTCCATCCACATCATTTGCCCTAATCATGGTGGATTGTTAAATATGTCCAGAAACTTGATTTCCTTTTTATGCCTTGTTAGATTTCTTACATCAATTCACGACTATGAAAGAAAAAAATCATTTGTCACCCTCTCTAAGAAAATACACATCTGGAAGGTATAGTCACAAAGCTCCCAGATGATCGTTTAGTAAAAGGGTGGGGTGCTATCTATTTCTCAGATCGAATGACAAAATTGCACCAGGCAGCTTTGTCTATAAGCCTGGCTGCTGGTGAGTCAGAAGCGTACTCGCCGCCCCCCCTCCTCCAGGAGCTATCACTTGTGGGGAAAAAGTACATTGTGGGAGGGGTAAGAAGAAGGAGAGGCTTCCGTGTAACCGTTTTAGCTTCCTCTCCACGGAGGCTTCTGTTTACCAGTTAGTTTGCTGGGGTCCCTGCTGTGTTCTGGGGTGTGTGCTCCTTAGAGGAGGAACCCTTTCAATATAGAACATCACAAAGTGGGAGGCTAACAGTGCTCACGGGTAACAGCTGATAATCCCCTCACACGCACACACACGCCTGGAGATACGTGGAAGAACACTGTGGGCAGGTTTCACAAAGAGAAAAGCGAAAGGGTGGGGGGAGGGAAGAATGATCCCAAAGGCACGAGGGCTTTACCTTCCCAAAGGTCCACGGTCTGAAAAATGTCAGTGGTCCTGACGCCATAGATCTCCGCAGCTTTTAGGAACTGGGAGATTTGCTCCATCTGCTTAAAAGCCATCTTTGACTCTGAGATCTTGGGAATGGGCTCTTGTCCGGGTGGGTATAAACTGTTTATCAGCTTGCACAAGACCTGAAGAGGGAAAGGAGGAGGCAGAATCAGCGTATCCCTTTGTATTTACCCCCCCCCCAAAGCAAAGTGAATCCTGGGCCTCACAGGGCACAGCCCACGGGTTTGAGCGTGGGCCCATCTTGTACCCCAGGAAGGCACGGGTTCTGAGCTGGGTGGCCAGGCTCCCAAACCGAACCTCAAAGACCCAGGCGACTCCATTCTCAGGGCTACTCCTGACCACAGAGAGCCCGGGAGTCCTCTTCCCTCCTTTCCTTTTGCTGGGTGAGCGAAAGAAGGTTTATGGAGAGGGAATGATGTGCAGTGATGAGGCCACGATTTCAGACTTTCAATGGAGGGAAGAGTTAGCGGCTCCCGGAGAGATTAAATGATGGACTCTAATATTATTTCTTCTTTCAAAAGGCAGATCAGAATCAGGCTTCAATAACTCATCCAGTAAAAGCTAATGATGTGTAAAGGAGCCGAACTGGGTGGGTACCCCCAGATCCCTATAAACAAAGCGCTGGGCATAACCGGACAGAAGCGTGAGATAGCAGTTATGTAACAGTAAATCACAGCCTGCGGGAAAAGACGGGCTTGTTGGAATCAGCAGAGCCTGTGGTCTCCAACCACCCAAACACACGCGAGCATCTCCTTAGACAAGCAGTTATCAAATAAGTATTCCCTTCAGTTTCAAGAGAATCCATCCATTCGACAAACAGGCATTAAGCATCCCCAAGGCGTATGGCTCCAGGAAGAATGGGAAGGTGGTGAGTCCTGCCCCTCCAGCCCTTCTTTTGTTTTACTGTGTATCCAACCTATTCCCCTGGGGGAAGGAGTGCCGCCGCGCCGCGCCCCCCCCCCCCCGCACCCGCCAGAGGAGCTGATGCACCAGGAAGGCTGGAGAGATCTCAGGGAAATACTTATCTCTATTCTCACTGGAAAAAGCAAAAGGACTTCGAATTTCCCAACAACTCAGGAGGAACCTGTGATGTCTGGGATGGGTGGAGAGTCCTCTAATCCAGCGAGGGAATTGTGCAGGGAGCCCAGACCTTCCAGTCCCGAAGAGATAAAGGCATTCCCGTCCCCCTCCCCCCGAGAAGGAGCTTGGCAAGGCGCAGCTCCTCCGGTGACCTCTCGTTAAAAGAGGAGACCCTGGAGGGTTTCCCAGCCCACCGCCCCAGCATCCGAGATCGCTGCCCGCCCTTACCGTCCCGTCCATTAGCCATTTCTGAAAATGGGCCCTGCCAGGGGGCGGGTGCTGTATGTCCTCGGCGCACTGCAGGATGATCCAGTCCACCAGCTTGTTCTCCAGGTCCGCGTCGTACTTCTGCTCGATCTTCTCCTGCACCTCTCGGCTTAAGCCGTAGCTCGGGCCCCTGTTAGCCATCTCTGGAAGAGAAGAGAAGACACGCGGGGCATCCACACAATAGCAGCAGCAGCCCGGGCTCCCGGCAGACGGGGTTGGGATGTGGCTGGGCCTCCTGGCCCAGCAGCAGCAAAGCCGGCAGCAAGCCGGGCGTGGTTTAAATCAAGGAGCCAATGAAGCCACTGGGGTTTCACCTACAAACGGGGAGGAAAAGCGCAGCGCCAGTGACTCTTAGAATAAAGCCCCTGCCGGTCCAGGGGGGCTGGAAGCCCCCCTCTCAGTCCCGTCTATCAATGAGACGAAACGATGCACAATGACTCACAATCAAGCCTGAAGCCCCCAGGCAGCAAGGGGGCTGGGGGGCGGTCGTTTCTTCCCTCCTCCCAGGAACACTTTGCAAAGGCAGGAACCCTGAGATGGGAAAGAGCAGGTAATTAACAGGCCGGGAGGAAGGCCCCCTTGACGTAGAGCTGCGGGTGCTGCATCGCGCCTGGAAGAATGGTACACTGATTCTATTTTCTCATGGCTGAGGAGGGTCAAACCAGGGCCGTTGCTAAGAGCCGTCCAAAAAGCCAGCCCTCTCGTGTGTCAGTCTAGCCCGCGCGCCTCCCTCCCGCTGAGAGCGGCTTTCTCAGCAGCACAATTCTTCCCCCTCCTCTGGGGAACAGCCGGTAGTACACAAGGCCAGCTCACAGCTGCACACGGAACGAGGCCTGTGGGAGGGTCCATTCCGTCAGCTGTCCATCTGTCAGGAGTTGCCAGACCACTTTCCCCCTGCCTGGAGGGAACAGTTGTCTGGTGGGGCAGGAGAGGCAGGGCTGTGAGCTGCAAGCATTAACTTGTTCAGCTGTCAGCCAGATTTCATCCCGAAACTTCCAACGTGGTGGGAAACTGTTGTGCCTCAGTTTGACTTATTCAAGGAAAGTAGCGTTTTAATGCCATTTTTAATCGAAAGACACCGAGAGTACGTTTTATAAATTACAAGGAGCTCAACGTGCTAAGAACGCTTGGAGTGAGAGGTCTTGATAGAGTGTAAAGATTTCATCTGTTTAATTAAGGATCAGAAAGGCACCGCTGACACACTGTCAGTGGTAACTGCGTATCTGGTGTGAGCAAACAAGACCTCGGGAGAAATCATTAGACCTAAGTTGGCCCGAAATTTTTATAAATACTGAAGGGCTTGGTAGTTTGTCTTCCTAGACTGTAAGCCACTTGGGAATAAAGATTAAGTCTTGTTGGTGTTGGGTAAGTCTTTGGGTACTTTTCATGGGAAAAAAACACCATAAATTTTGTTCTTTGGTTCATTCAACGCATATTGTTTTTGAGCACTTAACTGTGCCAAGTTCTGTGCTGGAGAGAAATAAAATATAAATTTTTCCTCTAGAACAGATCAATTGACTCAGAACATTAGATAAAACAATTTTAGTACGTGGGATAGCGATCTTTGTCGCTGTGGGAAATTGATTAGAAGCTATGCAGGAAATGACCTCAAACAATACATGTATTGAGAAAAATCTCCTGCCAGCTGGGGCCTGGATTCTTGAAATTTTAATTACTTAGTAGATATGTGGGTGGTTTGCTTGAGAAAAGACTTAGTGGTCAGTAGTTGAAGGCATAGGAGAGAGAGCTCTGTGAAAACCGGTTGTGAGAGAATCAGAGCTTTGAGGAGAGCAGTAGGTTTAGAAAAAGGCATTACAGGGGCTGACGGATGCAGGTCTGCATGCTGCGTGGAATCGACAGTTGAAAGAGCTTTAAAGGCAGCAGAGCTGGCTCCAGAGACTTGGAGCTCGGGGGTAGAGTTCAGAGCAGGGAAGTTGTCAGCAGAATTTTGGAAGTCACTCAGTTGCATCTTGGTGGCAGCAATAAGGTCAGTTCCAACCCAGGACTAAGGAAACAGAAGCCCAAACAGGAAGCATGTTATTTCCTCTGTGGCTGGAATTGCTCTAAGGAAGATGTTGGTTTGTTAAAAAAAAACAAACAAAAAAACCCCAGAAAAAACAGAAACTATTCTAAAAGATGTACATTTGCCTTTTTTTTTTTTCAGACTCTGTTTTGCAGATCTTTTGTACCCGAAGATTTTTTTGCCATTGTAACAAAATATGTGGGGTACTTTAAATGAATGATTGAAATCATGGTTCTGGAGAGGACACAATGGCAAAGAGGAGAGTCCAAGCAAGGCCTAGAAGGTTAGAAGTGTCCAGAAATCAATAGGAAATCATTAAAGAAAAACCACTTGATCCCCTGGGTGGTGACAGTGGAAACTGGCTCAAACTTCTGTTTACTGAGTGCCTATAAATATTATAATTTTTTCAACAACTTTTTAAAAGGGTCTGTGTATCTGAGATTTAAAAAAGAAATGAATGAGATATGGCAACATGGTCTACCAGCAACATTAAACTTGTAAACCATAAATGCCAACCAGGTGTCATGCTAAAAATATGCACAGGGTACTCAGGTACATTTATATCTGGAGGAAGAGGGTAGGAAATTAGAGAAAATATTTATGAATGGGATGACTTTAAGTCTCAAAGGAGACTTAGGTGTTTTAAAAACTTAGGTGTTTGCCTAGTGAATGGGATGAGGCAGGAGGGATTGGGAACGTTGCTAGCAAAGGCAGCTTATGTAAGAAGGTGAACATGTTCTAATATCAACAAAGCATAGGGTTAAAGGGAAGAGACACAGAAATAAAGCTGGAATGTCAGACAGTCTCCAGATTACCAAGTAGAGTGCTTGCAAATGTCCATGGTTAAATTTTCAGGAATTTTGAAAGCCAGTTGTTAAACTCAGCCGCTGTAACCACTTAAATTATGTAAGCTTACACTTAAATATGTTATATTAAAAGCAAAGGTTAAATACTCAAAACGGATCACTTCCTAATTTATTTTGCTACATTTTACTATTACTTATGTTTTCGAGGATATTTATGCTTATTGTCTCTATATGGGGTATATACTATGTAACAGTCTGGTACTGGCCATGTCTTCCCAGCTTCCTTTTATTCAGTGACGTCCCAGTGGTAGCTTTAAACCAGCTATGACAAGAGTATAGCTGGCTGTTGGCAAATGCTGCAAATCGGGGCTCCCCTCCCCACCCAGCTAGTTGTTGAATATTTACTGGCCTTGCCACTGGGCTTATGTATCACGCAAATGAGCTTGAGTGTTTTCATAGAGAAAAAGAGCCATCAGATCTGATTTAGGTGCAGGAAAAGGAGAGGGTCAGAATGACTCAAGGGTTTGATTTGTATAACAGGGGTCATGGTTGCACCAATTATTGTAAGGGGACCATAAGCGGGGAGGTACATTAAGGGGGAAGATAATAGCGTTTGGACTTACTGCATTTGGGAGGGCCACCACAATCCATCCCGGTCATTCAGTTTTATGCATCTGGAGCTAAAGAGAAAAATCTGGAATGAAGGAAAGTACTTGAATCATCTGCGTGCAGATAGCAGTTAAAACCAGGAACCTGCGTGAAGTTGCTCAAGGTGAATAAGTAAGTTGCATGAGAAGAGTGCCATTGTCAGAACAGAAGGGAGTATTAACAATACAAAGTGCGTAAGGAGATGGTGTGGCATGGTCAGGGACACCTGGGGTTAGAGAGTGTCAGAACGAAGCTCCTGATCTCAATGGTCCTTTGGGAGAGGGAGGTTGGCATATAAACGGAGAATTTCCATGTAGTAAGTTCTATCAAAAAGGCCTCAGTGGAGTGCTGTTCGTGAGAGAGCAGAGAGGACCCATCGTCAAAATTCTTGGACACAGAGATGAGGATGAGGTAGGAAAGGCTTCAGTGAGAAGCTGAGATTTGAGCTTCTTTTCAAGTAGAAGTTTATCTGTCAGTAAAAATCTGAAAGTTCAAGAAAATAGAGAGGACAGTTTCTTCAAAAGACAAATTTTGTTTAAAAAAATTACCTACATTTTTCTAGGTATGTTCTCTAAATGTACCAAAACATCATATTTTTTCATTAAACCAAGTTATGCATATTACATGATTGTGTTTCTAAACTGAAAAGTGACTTTAGGTCTGTAATGAAAGGGGATCTTAAAAAGGTATATTGGGACTTCCCTGGGGGCGCAGTGGTTAGGAATCCGCCTCCCGATGCAGGGGACACAGGTTCGAGCCCTGGTCCCGGTAGATCCCACATGCTGCAGAGCAACTAAGCCTGTGCGCCACAACTACTGAGCCTACGCTCTAGAGCCCGTGCTCCGCAACAAGAGAAGCCACCGCAATGAGAAGCCTGCGCACCGCAACGAAGAGTAGCCCCTGCTCGCCGCAACTAGAGAGAAAGCCCGCGCGCAGCAACAGAGACCCAAAACTGTCAAAAATAAATAAATAAATACATTTACATTAAAAAGACAAGTTGGAAAATCTTACTGGTTCTTTCCTTTAAAAAAAAAAAAGGTATATATAAATTCCACCGATCTTCTTTCTTCCTTCAGAAAATGAGTTCCTTAGTTGTTTTTTTAACAGTTTAAAATGTAATGAAAAGTCGACATATCCCCTTTGGGCACTGCCTTGGGAATGGTTATGTCGCAAGTAATGTTCTCTTTGCTCTGTATCTCTGTGCTTTATAAAATTCAGCCTTGCCCAAAGCTCCTTTCCTTCTCTCCTCCTCACAGACCTTTCTATTGGCTGCTCAGAGAACAGCCTACCGTGTAGATATGTGTCTGGAAGTACCTGTAAGCTCAACAGATGCTGCAAAAGCAAATGTATTCTGTGGTCTCATTAGCCTTCCTCTCCATTGGCATTGACCTTATCCCCTTCCATTGCATGCACTGAGATTGTTTAGAGGGGTCATGTCGCTGCTTTTAAATCAGTGCAGGGGTTCCAGAGGATAGGCACTGAGGGCCTGCTGGCTGTTCAAGCATTTACCATGTCACTGAATACAAGGCATGGAGTGGTTTTAGAAAAAAAAAAAAAGAGCTTTGGGAGAAAAATAGAAAAGCACACTAAAGGAATTAACAATGTACTAGAATACACTAAATCCCACTGCTTCAAACTCATTTGGTATTTATGATGCTAACCTCTGCAAAGCTAGATTAAATTTTAAGACAGCTTTTCATGTCTTTAGTTTCCTCTCCCTCCCTTTTCCTAGCCATTGATGGATACCATACAGCTAACATTCCAATTTGGGATCTTGAGGTTAGGAAGTTCCAATCCAGTTCAGTTTCAGAAGACCTACTCACTTCCTTGCCTCCACTTTCCTTCCTAAAGCCCCAAGAATTGTGCCCTCCAATTTCTCACTGGACTGTGTTTTGTGCATATAAAAATACAAGTGAAATGGTAGTGACTCCTACATGTCATTGTTCTAGACGTGTTGTGCTTAACCCTTACACTTTATTAAATAGGTTTATATTATGACATTTTACAGATGAGGAAACCTCAGGGAGGTTAAGTAAATGGCTCAGTCACAGGGCTAGTAAATGGTGAGCCAGGACTTAAACCCAAGCTCTGAAGTCTGTCTTTAACCACTATATGTACTGCCTCTACAGAAATACTATGTATCTCCAATCATATTTATCACATTTTATTATAATTACGTTTAACCCTAGAAAGCTCTAAAGGGCAGGGCCCTTTCCTCATCTTTCTAATCCTCATGCCTAGCAGTGTCTGGGCAGCTTAGGCCCCGGAAGAGGCACCCTGCCATCCTCTAATAACCCATTCTAGTATCAGGCAGTGTGGCACACTGATGGTTCGTGTATTTTTGGTTTGTAAATGATTTTTGTTTGGTATGAAAGATATCTCCTAGATTATATGGTATTGCCCTGTAGGGTATTAATCTGCTTTGTATCTGTGTCGGGGTCCCCAAGACCACCCCCAGGTTTGACAATTTTTTAGGAGGACTCACAGCTATGATTTATTACAGTGAAAAGATACAAAGCAAAATCAGGAAAGGAAAAAGGCACACAAAGTGAAGTCTGGGGAAACTAGGCATGAGCTTCTAAGAATCCTCTCCTAGTACAGTCACATAAGTTGAGCTTAATTCCCCCAGCAAGGCATTGTGACAGCACATGTGAAATGTCCACCAGGGAAGCTTGTCAGAGACTCAGTGCCCAGTGTTTATTGGGAGCTGGACACTTGGGCAGTCTCTGCTTGGCACCTACCAAAATTCCAGACTCATAGGAGAGCATTTGTCCAGTACAAACCACATTGTTTGTACAGACAATTTAGGCACAGTGAGCCACTTTGATCAGTTCTGGAACTGTTGCCGGAAGGCAGACCCCTTGCAGGGCCCGAGAGTGGGCTCTTGACTGACACTCGGAAATGAATTGTCCGAGGAGACACACGTGCTGAAAAAGCAAAAGACTTTACTGGAAAGGGACACCCAGGTGGAGAGCAGCAGGGTAAGGGAACCCAGGAGGACTGCTCTGCCACGTGGCTCGCAGTCATAGGTTTTTTTGCGGTACGCAGGCCTCTCACTGTTGTGGCCTCTCCCGTTGCGGAGCACAGGCTCTGGACGCGCAGGCTCAGCGGCCATGGCTCATGGGCCCAGCCGCTCCACGGCATGTGGGATCTTCCTGGACCGGGGCACGAACCCGTGTCCCCTGCATCGGCAGGCGGACTCTCAACCACTGCGCCACCAGGGAAGCCCCATAGGTTTTACTGTGATGGGATTAGTTTCCGGGTTGCCTCTGGCCAATCATTCTGACTCAGGGTCCTTCCTGGTGGCACATGCACCTCTCTGCCAAGATGGATTTCAGCGTGAGGGTTTCTGGGAGGCAGGCAGGACATATCACCTCCTCCCTCCTCCTTTCGGCCCATCCCAGATTTTCCTGGTTAGTTTTCGGTGGCAGCACCTTGTTCTTTATTGGGACCTCCTGTTGTGAGACAACTCAGGCAAGTGGTTATCATTGTGTCTGGCCAAGGCTGGCGGTTTTGATCAACAGTTCCCTGACAGAATGCTGGGACACTCCTAAAATCCAAGTTCCCAGATGCTAGCCAAGGGCGAACTTTGTAAGCAGGTCTCTCTGAGGAGAAGCAGTCATCTGCTATGTTAACTCTTTTCAGCACAGGAATTTTATCCCAACATTCTTCAAAACCTATAAATGTTTCTTCAATTGTCCTTTGAACCAGGTTTACCATTTGCTGGTTCTCTTATTAATGAGTTAAAGAAATTTTTGACACATGCAAGCTAAATAAAGTCCAGTCAAACTTAAAAGCTAAAAGATACCAATTCAATATCAAGGTTGATTACTGCACAAGCTTATTTTAGTTATTAAAAAAAGAACTTTGGGGCTTCCCTGGTGGCACAGTGGTTGGGAGTCCGCCTGCTGATGCAGGGGACGCGGGTTTGTGCCCCGGTCCGGGAAGATCCCACATGCCGCGGAGCGGCTGGGCCCGTGGGCCATGGCCGCTGAGCCTGCGCGTCCAGAGCCTGTGCTCCGCAACGGGAGAGGCCACAACAGTGAGAGGCTCGCATACCGCAAAAAAAAAAAAAACTTTGTATTTCCCTTTCATATTTTCTTACTATCTCTACATTTTAGAAAGCCCTCTGATTTAGATGGCAATCACCTGGCTATTTGTACTTAAGCCACATATTAATAAAACAGGAATGTTTCTGCAGGTAGGTGATAATATAGATTCATTTCTTCTTTGGAATATGAAATCTGAATATGAAAATATTACATCATTGCTTAGGATGAAATTCCCCCAGTTAACTATAAGACATATAGGCCAAAATTTAAAGTGATATATATCCTTTATATATCTGTAAAGTTTTGAGCCCTTAAAAAAGAATAACCTTGATTTTAAGTTCAAATATAACATGCAGAATATAATATATAAAGTAATAGCTTTATTTTGAACTTTATTATGCTTCAGTCATTTCTCTAGTCATTTTAGATTTATTTCAATAAACATTTTCCTATATCTTGTAAACTGCATTTTAAAATCAGAAATAATTTTGCAAATCTCCATATACAATGATACCAAACAAAAAACAAAAAAATCAAGTTTTATTAGCAATTCTGGCACAGTTAACACAAGCATTAGAAGGTAAACATCTCTTGAATAAAAAAATAGGAAATATTTTAATGAAAAAAATCAAGGATTGAAGGAAGGAGAACATTTTTCAAACAGCAGCTGGCACTTTCTTCACAATCTGAATCACTTGTGCAAATACACCATTAAATACTCACATGATATCTACAAAGTAGAGATAAGAGAAACAAACCTTCTAAATATCAGGGTCCTTCATCTGTTATCCAGCTTCCGTCTTCTGGATCCATTACTTTACATTCCAACTAAAACTGTGATTCTAGTTAACTACAGTTGAAAGCTTATCAATTAAGTCATCAATAGTGTAAACCAGCAGTTGAATGTCTGCTTTTTCCTTCATTCGGTGATCACTATTCTTTCGGAGGATGACATCTACATCTGTGCTGACTACTCGGTCAGCAACCTGCATGGACGTATGCCATGGTACAATGTCATCCTTCATGCCGTGGAGCAATCTTATAGGGCAGTTCACAGGAATAGGACTATGTAACAAGCAGTAGTGCTCTGCTTCTTTAATGACACTGTACTGAACGCGATAAAATCCTTCTTCACTGTATTTTGATGGCATGGACCACACACCTTTCATCTCTATTTCCTTTCTTACCTATTGGGAAAAATGAGGAAAACAAAAGTATTTATGCAACATTAACACATACAATAGTCTTAATTCAAGAGAAGCAGTCTTTGAAGAAGGGGAAAACAGATAAAAATATAACGATGATAATTATCAGTAATTAATTACTATGTGCCAGGAGCTGTGACAAGTATTTTCCACATAGTATCTCATATGATCCTGATACTATCTGTTCTTATTTCATTTTTACAAAAGAGGATATTAAAGTTAGAGTAATACATATGTTTAAAGTTGAAAGGTAGTTAACTGCTGTAACTAGGATTCAAACAGATTTAACTAACTTTAACGTGTAATATCTTAAAAATCAGGTATTGCTTCATTCCAACTTGAAAGGGAAAATGAAGGGGAGAAAAGTACAGTAATTTCTTGGAATCAGTACAGGTGGCATTCATATTACATAAAACCAAATCTTGGGAATAAAAATTGTTTACATTTAAAAATCATGAAACTAAAAGTGCATATACGAGAAGTTACTAAAATGGGGATGGGTGGGAGAAGGAGAAGAATAAAGCATAGTGCTAAAAAAGAAAAATAAGACAGTGGTTATTCCGGGGCAACCATACACACCCAATTTTATCCTGAATATTAAAAAAATGTAGTTTTTGCCTTTTAGAGTGCTACGGAATGAGAAAAAATTTGTTTGTTGTTGTGGATGACAAAGAAGTCTTCCAAAGACTTCCTGAAAACTGAGCATGGTATCATTTCTACTCTTAAAATAAAACACTGGGTATTCTTTGATTCTTGAAGAATTTCTATTTTTTACATTATAATTTGTCTTAAACAATTTTTCTAGTTAAAGTAACATATACTCATTATAGAAACGTGGAAAGTATAAAAAGCATAAAAAGGGACTTCCCTGGTGGTGCAGTGGTTAAGAATCCGCCTGCCAATGCAGGGGACACGGGTTCAAGCCCTGGTCCAGGAAGATCTCACATGCCGCGGAGTAACTAATCCCGTGTGCCACAACTACTGAGCCTACGCTCTAGAGCCCATGAGCCACAACTACTGAGCCCTCGTGCCACAACTACTGAAGCCTGCATGCCTAGAGCCTGTGCTCTGCAACAAGAGAAGCCACGGCAATGAGAAGCACACACGCCGCAAGAAGAGTAGCCCCCACTCGCCTTAACTAGAGAAAGCTCACACGAGACCCAACGCAGCCAAAAATAAATTAAATAAATAAAAAACAAAACAGGGCTTCCTTGGTGGCGCAGTGGTTAAGAATCTGCCTGCCAGTTCAGGAGACACCGGTTTGAGCCCTGGTCCGGGAAGATCCCACGTGCCGCGAAGCAACTAAGCCCGTGCGCCCTAGAGCCCGTGCTCCGCAATGAGAAGCCACAACAATGAGAAGCCTACGCACTGCAGGGAAGAGCAGACCCCGTTCGCCGCAACTAGAGAAAGCCAGTACACAGCAATGAAGACCCAACGCAGCCAAAAATAAATAAATAAATAAATTTATTAAAAACAAAACCAAAAAACTCTACCTTTTTTTAAAAAAAAAAAAAGCATAAAAATAAATAAATCACCATAATCCTATTTCGTGGATATAACAACCATTATTATTCTGGCTTATTTCCTTCCAGTATTTTTCTATATGTGTTTGGTTTTTATATATACAATATGTAAAACACTTAGCTATTACAATTCATATACAGTTTTCAGCGCTGGTTTATTTATTCAATATATATATTTCTGGGTTTTAAAAGATTCTATTAAAAGTTTTTAAAGGCTGCATAATTGTCCACTATAATGCATCTAAGATAATTAACTTGACCATTCCCACACTGCTGAATACTTCCATGAACATCTTTGAACATAAAGGTTTATATGCATATAATAAATTCTTTGGAAAGATTATCACAACTTGAACTAGTAAATCAAGATGTAAATAGCTTTAAGCCTCTTGCAACCATATAACATGAAGGGCATTTCTGTCTAGAAAAACAGATGGACATCTTATCAAAAATAAAGAAAAATATAAGGAAAGAAAAGCTACATACAACATATTTCAAGAATTTTGTATTTAAATTTTCAATGAAAACATTATGATTTTTCCACATTTAAAATTGTTGACTTATTACAAATACAAAGAGGCAAAAATGAATTTAAACAGTAAAATATGTATGATATAATCTGTGTACTTAGGAATTTTAATGTCTTTTATAAAATTCCAAAAAGATTTGATTCAGTGTAAAAGCTGTATATCTGAAACCTAGACGTCTAAATATCTATATCCAAATGATTTAAAATTAGTGGAAGCCTAAAAAAACTATAAAATATATGAACCTATATTAGTATCATGGGGTACTTTGCATTAAAGCAACATATGAATCAAATATTTAAAGTAAAAATGATATTCTGTTACCTTCAAGCTACTCATGACTGTTCCTGAATTGGTAATTTCAGTAATAAGAACTTAGTCTCATTGATTATTAGATGAAGTGGGAACTATGTTAATTACTGAGACATAATTAATAATAGTTGTATTTTAAGCATCATTGCCCACCCCAACTAGCTCTGTTATCTGCTATTGAGTTGAATGAATATTGTCCATTTGAAGAACAAACTTAACAAAATCTTATATGTCCCAAAGCCTCAGAAAGTACAGAAATAGCAAAAACAGTATTAATCAGAGAAAATGTACAATATACATAATTTCTACACCAAGAAGAAACTAACAAGGCAATGTGGCTGTGAAGCTTAGACTCCAACAGCTGTGCAACCTGCCTGACGCCCTCTACTGTCCAAAGAAGCAGACAATGATTAGAGTTAGTTAAGAGGTAAGTCAAGTTCCTACATAATGAGTAATGCTGGGTCTTAACATTCCCAGGGCTAAAGAAGACAGTAAAAACCTCCACCTCCATTCCCTTGACACTGCTAGTACTGGCTGTCTATGTGGAGAAGAAGAGATAGTGGTCCTAGTGTCTCTGCTCTTTCTTTACACATGCTTTTAAGTTAATAAGGGTCAACATGTTTCTGTTTAAGGATTTTTGCTGGTCTGATTTAGGATTAGCAAAGATGTACCCTGATTTGCAGGCTATAGATCTTCTCAGTCACTTACAGGTTATCTACCATATCTTCCCTCTGAGTGACGGATACACACACATAAAAATAAATGTACACAGATCTTGTCATTTACCAATAACCTCCCAAAATTGTTTAATCAATTCTTTTCCAGTAGGCCATCTTCTTGAAATAATTTCCTATCATGAGAAGCACTGCATGACTGAGTTAGAGAACAGAGTAAGGGGTCCAAGGTTTACATGCAGAAGGATACAATGGTAGGAAAAATTAGCAGCATGAGGACATGGAGCAACCATGTATAAGAAACAATCAAGAAAGTGAAAACAATTCAGAAATAGGAGGTAAGTGCAAAGAAGATCAGCTTTGTAATTTCAGCTCTGATAGGAAATCATATGAAGAACCTGACTATGCAGACAATGCCATTCTTAAGGAAATGGAAAGAACAATGTGAACTAAGAATAAACAGAACAGAGAGTACATGGCACTGAATTCAATGCCGAACTTGAGGCAAATTCAATGACATTCCACCATTCAACACCACACAGGCTTTTTTTCTTCTTTTGCTTTTCCTCCCCCTCCTGCTCCCCCACTCTGTAGAGCAGTGGTTCTCACACTTCCCCTGCGGGCTTGGTTAAAACAGATTACTGGGCCCCACTCCCAGTTTCTGATTCAGCTGGTCTTGGTGAAGCTCAAGAATATCCATTTCTACAAGTTCTCAGGTGATGCTGTTGCTGCTGGCCTCGGGCCTGCACTTTCTGAACCACTGCTCCGACTGTTTTTCTTTCTGCTAGGGTCTTAGTCCCACAAGTGAAATTTAGAGCCCTAGGAAACATATGCCCAAGGAGAACTTAATTGATTGCAAAACAAAAAAACAACATACACAAAAATAAACAGCTATTACCCACCATTTTTTTTATCCTTGCAGACAACTGAAGTGCTTAAACGTATGTCCAATAATAAAGTATAATAAACGAATTCCCTTCCCAATTATTCCAGAAACCTTATTTCTATCATGAGTTACTGAAGAACATGCTAATGGTGAAAAGCACCTTCTTTTTTTAAAGGTGAGAATTAGGAGTAGAAAAAGAATGCTAACTTAGTATCTAGGCCAGGAATGGCAAGTCTCATCTCCTGTGTATGACTGACAGTGTGTGCTCAGATAACTCTTCTGAGAGAGGATCTGAGGCTTTCAGGCTAAAAAAAAAAAATAGTTTCATAATTGATTAGCCGTCTTAACATGGTCATAGAATAGGTACTATTTCCCAGAAGCCACAAAATAAGACTAAGAGTTCCAAAAAGAGATCACGATGTATAATTCAAATAAACAAATGTGGTTAATAAAATGTTGCTAAAACAAGAAATTTAAAGTGTGATTTCATTCATGTGGCTCAAATATTTGGCAAAATGATTTGAAGTGACTGTGAAAAAAAGAAAACCTTAAACAGGAGACCAAATAGTTAAAGAAGGCAAAGAAATGGTATACAAAAAGGCAGTTAAGACAAAATTTGGGCCAGTGTAACAAGTCAAAGGACAGATGACACATGAACAAAATTCAAAGAGGGAGCAAAATGACAGGAGGGATACACGGAGGTTGCCTGGGACTTACCTCAACAGGAAGCTGATTAAACTGTGTCACTAGGCTATCCACAGCTGTCGCTACACCAATAAGAGCAACAACCTTTTGTGGCCGTGCGATTGCAGCATGAAGCATAAGCCATCCACCGAGGCTAGATCCAACTAGTATCTAAAAATAAAAACATGTAGTTTTAAAGAGGAATTTATTTTTCTTTTCTATAAGGCAGTGAATAATTTCATAGAATGTATATACTTTCTTTCTCTATATTCATTGGCTCCCAGACTTTTAATATTTGGCACAAAGTAAAATTAAGATTATGATTACATTTTGTTAAAGTATTAGGTTTATAATAGAGAATAAACTAGACAAATAAAATTTGTAAAATGAAAAGTAAAATGCTACCTTCGTTTTATGAGAAAGTGAAAATAATAGAACTGATTGATTTGATATTGAAATATAAAAATGGATTGTTAAGACATTTAAAATATTAAATAAATTTTCACATCTAAAGAAACAGCTCAAATGTCATGAGGTTGCAGTCAACAATTATCATCATATTTAACAAAAATAGTCACCTGTGGTCCTTCAGCTAAGTCATCAATTATAGAAAGAACATCTTTTCTCCATTTTCCCACTGTGCATTCTTCTAAGTTACCATCTGAATTTCCAACTCCTGAGTAATCAAACCTGGAAAAAGAGAAAACATATCTATATTTAGATATCTATGTATTTGCTTCTCTAATTTTTAAGGAAGACAGCACATTAATCATTATTACAATGTCTAAAATATATTAAAGTAAAACTGTGAAGTCAATATGTATTTCAGCAAATCCTACTGTCTTAACCTTCAAAGATCTCTCATAGCCACTTACTTTCTCACCTCCTCCACTGCTGCCAGCCTGGTCCAAATCACTATCCTCTCTTGACTGAACTAATGCAAGTCTCCTAGTAGATCTCCATTTTCATTTTTCACCCTCAAAGTCTATTCCCCACACAGTAGTCAGTGATCCTTTTAAAACAAAAATCATGTCTTGCACAAACCTTCCAAAGGCTTTGTATAATCTTCAAATAAAATCCAAAGTCCTTACCATCCTCTAGCCCCTAACTACCTCTCTGATCTCATTGCTTACTGTTCTCTCTCCCTCCCAGTTGTATCCTTACTTTCCTTTTTGAAGTTAATGGAATATAGCACCCACATTCCTGCCTCAGGAGTTTTACAACAGCTTCTCCTTCCACGTGGACTACTCTACTCCAGATATCCACTCAGATTGCTCCCTCACTTCATTTAGGCCTTTGGCTCAAATGTTACATCTCCGTAAGTCTTCTCTGACCATTCAACCTAAAGTTGTGCTTCTTTCATCATTCTCTAGCTCCTTACCCTGCTTTATTCTCTTTATAGCAAATATTGCTACCTGACAATATACATATTTGATTATTGGTTTGTGGTCTATTTCCCACACTAGAATGGAAGCTCCATATGGGCAGATTGTTTTGTTCACACTGCTTTCCCAGTGCCTAGATCAGTCCCTTGCACATGCTAAGTGCTAAGTGTTATGTTTACTCAATTAGTAGAAGGAAAAGAGAAGTCCAGAATCAAATTCATCATCACTAGCTCCTCCTCTTGGTTTTCTTTCCTTCCAACTTCCTAGTTCCCCAGGCTCAGAGTCTGTTTGATCTGTGAACTTTACCTCTCCTTCAAGGTCTCAATTCAATAAATCATGAAGTATCATACCACTCCTGCAGACTGCCCTAAACCCTAGTCATACTGAACTACTCCCAATTCCTGGATAAGCCCTTTCCTAACTTTGAGACTTTGCATGCTGTTCCACTGCCTAAAAAGCCTTCATTCCCCATTCAAACTCCTAGTCATCCTTTAAGTCATGTCACCTCCTTTGAGGAACTTTCTTTGACAGAATGTGTCGTTTAGTAGTAGTAGGTCACTTTCTTTGTACCCAATTAACACCTTTTTTTTTTTTTTATGTGGTACGCGGGCCTCTCACTGTTGTGGCCTCTCCCGTTGCGGAGCACAGGCTCCGGATACGCAGGCTCAGCGGCCATGGCTCACGGGCCCAGCCGCTCCGCGGCACGTGGGATCTTCCCGGACCGGGGCACGAACCCGTGTCCCCTGCATCGGCAGGCGGACTCTCAACCACTGCGCCACCAGGGAAGCCCCCAATTAACACTTTTCATATTGTGTGTTGTAATCAAGTTTTAAATATATGTCTCTGACTAGAATGTCAGTTCTTCAAGGGCAGACTGTTTTATTTCAAGTTTGTTTTTCCGCAGGGTATAGAACACTGCCTGCCCTGTACTATCCTCACTCTCTCATTTTTTCTCACATGCACCCCTTTCTCCTCAGTTTGGTAAGACTGGTGTCTTGGTGCAGGTCTTTCTCATCTTAAACCTCCCCTATCACAGCAGCCTCCTCATTGTGTCATTCTTTCTCCAAATGGACCTACTTTATACTGTCAGGTTTTGTCTGACACATTGTATTGATATGACATTAATTTCAATGCCTTCCTGTGATATATAACATAAAAATTTAGTGCTTTAGCCTGTTTTTAAAGAACGTATTTTAGTCATCTCAGATTGACCTTTTATTTCTTCTGATGACACTACTGCTTTAGTCAAACTGATCAACTTGCTGTTCCTAAAAAAGACTACGTTTTCTGTCTCTGTTTTATGCTTCACCCATTTCCTTCAAGTGGAATATCTTCTCCCATCACCTTCATTACTAATATCCCCTCTCAGAGCTTAGTCCAAATGAAATTTTGCTAGAAAGACTTCCCAGACAAGCTGAAAAAAAAAAACAAAAACCTCTACCTAATGAAACTTCGATAGAATTCACTTTTATTAGTCACAATCATTTTATTATATCCTGCTCTACAAGACAGCTTATGTATTTGTGTCTCATCATTCCTATGAGACTGTAAAGATCCTAGAGGGGAAATACCATCATCTTGTTTTTGTTTCTGCATTCTCCACAGTGGCTAGCATGTGAACCTCACACACTGAGTACTATAATACATATTAAATGAATAGAAGTAGAACGTAAAAGTATAAAGAACTATTTTATTTAAATTTAAAGTATTCAGTATTTTTCTGATTCTTAAAATCTGGTGAAAACTATTAAATCCTAATGTTTTTCGTGTACTTGAAGAATATATATGTGATATATAGTGTATACTCATTTTCTTAGAGATAAGGGATTAAAAAGTGATGGAGGGACTTCCCTGGTGGTGCAGTGATTGGGAGTCGGCCTGCCAATGCAGGGTACACGGGTTCAATCCCTGATCCGGGAAGATCCCACATGGCACAGAGCAACTAAGCCCACGTGCCACAACTGCTGAGCCTGCACTCTAGAGCCCACGAGCCACAACTACTGAGCCCGCATGCCACAACTACTGAAGCCCGTGCACCTAGAGCCCATGCTCCACAAGAGAAAACACCACAATGAGAAGCCTGCCAATCGCAACAAGGAGTGGCCCCTGCTCGCTGCAACTAGAGAGCCCGTGTGCAACAACGAGGACCCAATGCAGCCACAAATAAATAAATAAAATAAAATTTAAAAATAAGTAAATAAAAGTGATGGAGAAAGAAATTAAAATTAGGTATGAAGTGAAGTGGTTTTGGATCCTAGGGAAATAGCGTAACAAGGCAGCTACTGAAGTCTAAATCACGGTTATTATTTCTCCTCAATCCAGGGGATATAGAAGACAGATCAGGGAGAAGAGGGGAGAAAGACACCAACTAATTCTCCTCTAGCCCCCTCTGTGGGCAATCACACATCTCTACTTGCTGTATTTTGTTTACAGTTGCCTTCCAACTACATGGTGAAAATGCAAAACAGATGTAGAGGGCCTTCAAAAAGGAAAATATAAACATTCAGTGATACTAATAGGTGACAATATAGTTCATTCTTGCTGAACCCTAACCAAGTGACAAAGATAATTAAAAAACATTCAGCAGTTTAAAACTTTTAAACATAGTAATGCAATTCTGTCTTAGCAGCCCCAATACTCTGGAACATATTCCCAAATGTAAAATTTTAAATTTTATTAGAAATAATTATGAGAGAAGACCAGCCCTAAAACCATGTGTTTCTGAGCTCCGACTCACTCTTATTTTAGGCATGGTGGCAGGATATTAAAAAAACATTTACACAGAACCGTATGTACTATTCCTTGTGTAATATACAGAACTAACCATTTCCTCATTCAAGATCTAAGTTTCACAGACAAAATCACAACAAAAGTAAACTGAGAAATTGGGAGTATAAATAGAAGATAAAATCTCTTATAAAAAGTTAAAATGCAATCAGTAGCTAATAGTGATTAGATTGAAATGAAGTTTGATGAAAGCAAATAAAAAGGAACCTGATCAAATTAAAAATTGTAATGAAGGGCTATACTTTATAAAGTTTTATAAAGATACACTTAGGCTACATTTTAATACAGTATCACATAATTGTCTGTATACATTATAATTTCATTCTCATTACTTAATATACCTTTAAAAAGAAAATTTATTTCATATGCATCCAAAATGCAGAAAACCCCCTTATATGTCCTGTAGGGAGCTAGGAACTGGTTATAGCTCTCATAGTCTCAATTTAAATTCGAGAACTGATAAAATGGGGATTTCTTGAGTCAAATTCTTTTGGGGACAAAGAAGGAGAATGGTGGCAAGTTTTCTGATATCATCATGTTTTGCTCAGGGTAGTCCTCCCCTTCCTGGATAGCTCTTCCTTCTTACCCAAATCCTAACTATTTTTCAGTGTTCCTTTATAAAGTTTTTTCTATCTACTTCGACTCCTAGTCTTCTCTCACCTTATACAATTTAGTATCCGGCTCTTTGACATAATCACATTTTGATGAATATTTCTGTCTAATTTCCCATATGTATTTTATCTTGCATTTCCCCACCCTGATTACAAGATCCTTACAGGCAACGACCATGTTTTATAATTCTTTGTATATTTCACAGCACCAGTATAGTGCTAGAAAGTCTACCTGTAAAAAATACTCCAGAGTTCTGATCATGAAAATGAAATAATTCAGTTAATTTGATAACAGGAATAAGACAAAATTCATACAATTGACATAATTTTTGCTAATATATCGAATAGATAAAAGTCTTATTTTTAATTCTAAAAGTTTTAAAAATTTTTTATTTCTAATTATTTTTTATTTTATTTCTAAAAGCTGTATTTTCTAGACCTATTGAGTGAATGTTAGTGAAACTCTTCTAAAAACTAGATAAATAGATTTTTAGGTTGCTAGTGCTAGAAAAGAATTCAGAAATTATCTTTCGTCCAATCTCCTCCTTTTTATGATGAAGAAAATAGGTCCAGCATTTATTAACTGACTCATCTCATCAGTTATTGCTAGCATTAATTCTAGAGCCCATGTTTCCTGAATTCCAGGCCAGTGTTCTTTTTACTAAACCATACTATCTCTTCTGGCAAATCAGGCGCTAAATAAATGATTGTTATAAGTAAACAAATCTAATAACAATGTAAACACATGATTTTAGTAAAATAATTATCAGTATGAAATATTAGGAACTGTGAAATCAAGTAGTAAACAACACATCTCCTTATTTATGCTTATACATATTCAGGCTACAGAAGTGAAAGAAAAGAAACTCAGTGGAAATGCGAATTATACAATATTAATTTTACAATACTTTTAAACACATATATTATTTTAAACTACATATTTTAAAAGGAAATAAACAGTGGTCAAATAAATGTCCTTAAGTCCCCAAAGGAAAACCACAATATAATTACGAGATTACAAAAAAGCCAATTAGTATACTGGTTTGTTGTCATGTTAGAATATTGTTTCTAAAGAGCTAAGTTACCACTAGTTTTTTTCTGCCACCATTGTTGGTGTGGCACAAAGACCTTTATTTATTTATTTTTGTTTTTTGTTTTGTTTTGGCAGCGTGGCTTGTGGGATCTTAGTTCCCAGACCACGGATTGAACCTGGACCCTCAGCAGTAAGATCTCGGAGTCCTAACCACTGGACTGACAAGGAATTTCCCACAAAGACCTATAAAAAAGGCCTTTTAAAGGCTGCACTTTACAAGAACCCTAAATAACAAGATGAAAGTTTACAGACCATTAAAATAAATTAATCCATAAAAATGCTGACATTTGTTCCAGTTGGTTAGAGCAGAAGTAATTCTCTACTGCCATAGTAAATGGTAGTAATATTTTCTCTAAAATGTGTTGTTCCTACCTTATATAGGCGTGACCTAGAGATTTGCAAAACTCCTCAATCGCCAATGCTTTTGTACCATTCATATTAGACATATAGCCAGGGATGAAGATAATTCCTGGACTTTTGCCTTTTAGCCTCTTATAAGCCAGGTTTGGAAGGTCTGGTCGACTAAGGAAAGAGATTGATGTCTTTTGTCTGCAAGCTAAACAAAATACACAAAACATAGTTTGCAAACACAGTTTTTCGAAAACCATACATATTTTTAATCTTAACTTTCTTAACTCATCAAATTGATGTCAAATACTATTTCCATTTAATAGAAAAAAATACAGATGTGAAGTATTAAAGTCACAAGTCTGTGCATGGTATCTTTTAAAATCATGTCACAATCAGTGTCTTCTCTGAGCAAGGTCCAATCAGGATTCTTCCAAAATACACAATGAGAAGGAAATTTGAAGGCAACAAAAGACACAGAGACTTGTCAAAAATGTTTTTCTGTTGCTGCTATATCATCTGTCCCAAATAGTATCAATCAACATTCAGATTTACCTACACTAGTTTTAGCCCTTTCTTGTGAGATTTGTCTTCTTTAAAATTTTTTTTAATGTTTAAGGGATTTCACATCCTCTACTTTTTAGTGGGGAGGGGGAGAAACAAGTTTGGTCTGCCCTTGGGAAGTTGTTTCAAAGGTAGAGGTGCTGTGCCCCTTTTATTACTGATTCCCTCTCCACCCATAAAATCATGGGCCATGGTAACAGCCAATCGTGATTCCATATCTGCTGAGGCAGGTTCAATGAGCAGTTTCCTTACAAGTAACCTTGAATAAGTGCATGATAATACCATTTTTGGAAAAAGATTTCTCATAGGACTCCCAATCACTGTGTTTTATTTGTTGGCCTGGTTTTCTGTGAATGGTACACACAAATCTTAGTTCAAGTACAAAGGCACAATGGGTAAACCTTACAAGACTGTTCCATTTCATTATTTTTAAAGTTCCTTCCCTACTGTAAAATCAATACTTGCTCTTAAAAAATGTAAAGACATTTTATAAAAAAAAGTCATTTATAATCCCACTTTCTTCTTCCAAAGAAACTAGGCTTGTGTACTCCCTTAACAGTCTTTTTCTGGACCAACGGAATCTCTTTTTTATTACATGAAACCTTTCTCTACTTTATTGTGGCTAATTAAAACTTCTCACTCTCTTCCATGTAAGCTAATAAAGTTTTCCTCATTTTGGATCTGAGAAGTTGATTTTTTTAAAAACTGAATTGAAGCCCTTAAAGCTATCCCTTTTATATGTAATCCTGTTTCAGAGTTTCAATGTATAGTGAAATATGCCAAATTTAAAACTTTTAGTGAAAAACAAGGCTAGTAGGAGCCAGTTATGTTGGTTGACAGATTGCAGCAGCAAAAATTTCATTTCCCATTTCCTTAGCACTCCAAACTTCCTTCATATCCTCTCTTCCATATTACTTTCCAACAGGAAATTCTCCATGAGATAATTACAATTTGTTTAATCTTGGTGAGTTATAACATTATATCCGTGAAAGATCTTCCTACTGTAAGAATTAGCTCAAAGCCTGGGGCATAAGTGTTCAATGAATGTTTACTAAACAGTAAAAGAGTATCATATTCTAGTTAATGTAATGACATACTATACTTTGCTAGAAAAACAGATATATAACCGCCTTTTGGTTGTGTACAATTAAATGTAAGTTAAACTGATAATATGCTTAAAATTTTTAACTCAAAGGGTATTTGCCATGACAATTCCCATTCCAAGCACGATGCATCTGACAGCTGTCTGGCAAGGGTGTGAACACAACAAAACAAAAAAATAAAAAGACATAATTCAGAAAGACAGACTACATATATGGGAGTTGGGAGTGGAGGTAGGGTGGGACGGAGAAGAATCAAGCACAAGGAATGGAAATATTCAGGGGCTCTAATTTTTCGTCCAAATTCTAGTTTCCTTTGTAGAGTAATGACTACGGTTTTTACTGGGCTTCGATCATGGAAAAAAAAAAAGAACAAAAAACTAGAAATTAGGCTTGATAACGGCGTTTATACTTTTCCAAAGAAAATGTTCATACTTTAAAATCGCTCAAGTCAAGGGAGGGCAGGTCTAAGCATCTTAACAGTCACGATCTGTAAACCCTTTAGAACTAGCAGAGAAGAGCAAAAGCAACTAATAATCAAACGCATTAAATGCACATCTGAATGTTTCCTAATGTTGGCGCTTAACAAAGGGGAGGCGGGCAGAGAGGATCCTTAGACTGCAGAGCGTAACGCCACCAACGGCCCGGGCTGTCCAGAATACCCCAGGGCCGGGCAGAGCTCTCCTCACAGCCTTCACCAGAATTGTCGAAAGCGCCTAGAACTGGGGTACTGAGAACCGGGGAAGGGCATTTCTGAACGGGGCGCCAAAAACGCATGGCACAGGAACTGCCGGAATCCGGGATGTTCGAAAGTACGCGTCCTACTCCAGCCTTTCGGACACTGACCTGGGAGCCACCGTGGCGCCCGCTCGGCCTTCGGTGCAAGTAACGTGCTGAGCCCACGGTGGAAGCCGAAGGAGACGGCCATCCAGCCCCACCTGCGACAAGGTACCCAAGAGAGCAGACCCACCCTCGCCATCTTCCCAACAGCCCCTGCGCCCCGCGCCGACCTACAAAGACGCACAGCGCCCAGAAACTGAGCTTGCGCATGCGCCGCCCTCTGGAAGACGCAACTTGGTAAACAGCGCCTGTCCGAGTTTCGACCCCCGGAGAGCGCACATGCGCAGAGCGTCGTCGCTCTTCCCAGCCTTTCGCTGTTGGGCTGTTCTGTCGGGGAGGTGCGGTCTGTGAGTTTGGGATGTTTTGAGCGCCCTCTGTAGGCTGCTTTCTCGGTGGGTAGATACCCCAGGACTGGAAGTGAGGAGAGTAACCCCACCCACCGTTCCTAGATAGGAAACCATCTCATCATCCCGATGACAGTACGGAGCTGAAACATAAAGTGCTAGACTTGCTGCGTTACAAGTAGTTCTCACCCCCTGACAGTTTTGACCTGTACCGGAAATGGTTTGAAGATCTGACCTTAATCCTGCTTGTATAAACGCCTGGAGTGGAATCGAACTTTCGCCGCTCCTTCGCCCTTTTAAAGTTTGTTTTAGCTCTTTGTATGCCTGACTGTTGAAATACTCTGACCCCTGTCTCATACTATACGCAAAAATAAATTCCAGTAGATAAACGGTCTCAACAGAAGAATAAAACCGGAATAGTTCTGTTCACCCTGCTCCTAGAAATGATAAGAAAAAATATATAATTCCAATAAAATTGGCCAACAGCTGTGATAGGCAGTTCATATATGTAAACATGATGATCAACCTCACTAACTGAAAAATTGGAATTAAAAAAATAACCCATGCCATTTTTCCTACCCATCAGATTGGCAAAAGTTAAAAAGAACAACTATTGTTCTTTTTAACCTTTTTCCGGCAAGGAAGCTGGGCAATGGGCACTCATGTATGGTTGGTGGGAGGGTATACTGACAAACTCTTTTTGTCAAGTAACCTGACCACCTATGGCAATTTAAAATATGCATCATTTTCAATGCCCTTTGACCCAATGGCCCCAATTTGTGACTATCCTATAGAAAATACTAGTTTATAAGGATGCATATTATCTACTAGAGCACCACTTGTAGAGGCAAACAGAAGAAAAAAATGGAATGGCCAATTTAAAAAAATGGTTGAATAAACTGTGGTACAAGGCTTTCTGGATTCCTGCTCTGACACCCTTCAAAGCAATTCTTGGAGGCCTCAAGCATCAACAAGTAAGGACTAGTTTTTTTTGTTGTTGTTTGTTTTCTATTTCAAAGTTACTGTAGCTGGTTTAATACTGGATACAGTGAATCCAGCCTATCTTTGGAGTCTTGAGAACCTGTCCTATTAGAACACACCAGAAAAGCTAGATAAATAAAAACTTAATAGATCTCTTTCTTGAGAGGTGTATTGCCAGAAACACCTCCTGGACAGCTGCTTGATTTAGCAACTTTCTCCAAAAGCTGCTGAGCTATTTTGCTAGTTCTCCATTAAGTCTGTTGTAGACTCAAAAGTGACTAAAATCACTAAGGTGATGCCCAATGCACATCACTTCAGCATCCTTTGTATCTTAACAATAAACACTTCTCCCTATGGTTCTGGATATTTGCAAATATTCCCAATCATTCCTGTCCCTGTTCTGTCCCTTTATTTTTGCAGGTCTTCTTTCATTTTATGTGCAGGAAAAAAAAAAAATCTTACTTGTTCTCATAGTGGGAAAGGCACTGCACAAAAAAAGCAGGGAAACCCATGGACCATTTTCTCCATCCACCTTCATCAGTATAACAAATCAGGAAAAATTGTAGCTAGAGTCAAGTGAAGATGCTTTTACTGACACCAATGGGCCTGAAGTAGACAAATTTGTTTCCGTTAACCTACTATCAATGTTGCCTTCATTGACAGGTGTGAAAGGACATACCGTAGAGGGCGGTTTCTTCCTCTGAAATCTGCTGCCTTGTTCAGGGAAACAAATGATGTCCCCACCAAGTAAAGCCTTAGAACTTTAACTTCATACCTGCATGATTTTTTCCCCATCAGAGAGAAGGATAGGTAAACACAGTCCTTCAATCCCCAGTAGTAATTGCATCTGTGCAATTAGACAAAAAGATGTCAGGTTTCTCAGGGGTTATCTCATTTTGTTAGCAACAGGAATGTGTCCAGAGATATTTCTGATTACTTCAGTTTATAAACTACAAGTCATAGTGTTAGCACACAACAACCTTTATGTCGATTCTACAATGGACTTTTGCTGATTAATCCATCCCCTGTCATGTAACCAATGGGTGACTTCCTAATGAGAGATGAGTTTATTTTCAAATGTGAAATCTGGTCAATATTTTAATCCAAACTCAACATATTTTAACACACATATTGGAAAGGTTTACTATATCATGCAAGGCATAAAGTTGATTAGAATATCTTTACAATCCTATGAAGAGGTTAAAGTACAGTTCAGAAAAGTTATATCTTTACATTAACCAACAAAAGTTTAGCAATTGTATTTCACTCTCATTACAGGGTTTAGGGGTGAACTCTGAAAAAACAGATTATAAAAATGTCTTCTGCAATTGTGATTTTGTCCTTCACTGTTCAAGTAAAATCATGTGTCATCCAGTTGCAAAATCTTATTATTGGCAACATGTAATCAAACCAAACCACTGCAAATAAAAAAAAAAAAATTGTACCCAGGCAGGCCTGACAAAGATTTTACAGACACTTCTAATCTAATCATTTCGCTTGTACTAGTAAGTAATGTCATTATTTTCCGCTTCTATTCTTTTGCCAATGTGTAGAAAGAGTACATTCATACTTACAAACGCACACAACATGACAAACCAGGATAAATGGCATTTGAAAATCATTATAAAAGGACTTTCCTGAAGTCATTTCATTCAACAAAAATTAATTTAACTCTAAAAAACAAAGGCTAATTGTAAAGAAAATACATAATAAAATAGTACATTACAGAGTACATTAAGTTGAACTTCATTTGCCTTTTCATGGAATCACAATACTTCTGTAAATAAGGATTTTAATTGGTCTGTTCTTTGGTGAAAACAGCTGTATTTCATAGTTGTGTCATGTGAGGCTGCAACAAAGAGAAATCAGATAATATAAAGAAAATCAGCTACTGGTTGCCTTTATTCTCAGTACTGGGAATGGAGAAGTCTTCATCAAAATAGCTCCTAAGTATTCTCTTTATTTTAAATTGCCCAATGTGACAGAATGTCTAAGACTGCTTCTTCCGAAAACACACAGCTTTTTGTTCTTCTTTTACAAAGAGTAGTTTGCTATATATGTACAGTAGCTTATGCTGGTAGTGATTCTTCAAAGTCAACTTCCTGGGCACTTGTTGGCATCAAAGTACCATTTTAAAATGTAGAATAACACTAACTGCAGTTCATCGCTTGAAACTACTACTGTTAAACAAAGGTGATATCAAGTCTTTGGTTTTGGTGTAGTACTTTAAAAGTAGGGCCAAGCTCCTCGTACAATATATTCCCTTCCAAGCCCTTATTTGCTTATATTTATAAAATAACATTCAGCAAAATACTCCTTTTTCAAAAAAGCCAGTTGATTACCAGTAAAGTCAACGCCAATGATTTGGATGCTAAAATAATTTCATATTTTCCAAGTACATATAGACACTTGTAAATGGTTTAGTTCATTTCACCAAAATCAACAATTGATAAAAAAGAATTTATAAGAAATGTTCCTATAAGTGATGCTATTTACGAAAATAGTGTTTTCTTTCTCCTAGGTGCTTCAATTCTTTGCTATTTATGATCAAGCTTTGAGTTATTTATGCTCAAGCTTTGAATTAAAATCCCTTCTTTCCCTTTTACAAATGACTTCCTGTTTATATGAAAACGGTTCTGAGTATCCGTAGTTAAAGGGATGGGTCTCTTGGGTCTTTCCACCTGGTGTTGAATATGGCTTTATTCTTGTAAGAAATTATTGCAGTCTGCCCTGAAGTGGACTATTGCGTTAGTTCACTACAACAAGAAGTGAGTGTAACCTTCCGCCCCAGTAACTATAACATCCATCCAGATCCGCATGGCTTCTGGCGATGGGGCCACCATATAGTAGATTCTGTCATGCGTCTTGACGCTAAAGGTGAGTAATGGATTAGGACTCTAAAAAAAAAGGAAAAGAACATAAAATAAAATCTTGAAATTATAACATTAAATATAACACAGAGATATGTGACGGCTTCTATGTAGCTATTACTTCTGTTCTAATGTAACCTATTCCCTCGCCCTCAACACCTTTCTCAAGATTGACCATATTTCTGGCCTTTCTGCACAAGAACTCTCACAGTGAGCTCACCAGTAGTTTTAGCAGCTACTTGAAAAGCTCCAGCAGGGTATCTAGCTGATAGTGGGTGCTCTAAAAATAGCTCAATAAATGTTATTCTTAGCCCTACTAAGATGTTTCCTTATGATCTTCCTCATAAGTAGGTAGTAGCTCCTTCTTAGAAGCCTAGCAAAGAGTTACTTAGCAGGGTCTCCCAAACCAATATATCCAGAATATTTTCTCATTTTGTCATGATTTATTTTTTCACAAAAAGATCAGCTGCACTAATTACTTTACTTCCATGTTTACTTTTCCAGCACCATTCTGATCATATCTACCCATTATGTCAGAATAACAAATCGAAATTAATTAGAATTCAAAAAAATACCTTTTCCCCTACTTAATTATGCATTCAAATCGTAGGAATCTGAAATTCAATGTTTACCTTATTAGCATTCTTGAGGTGATCATAATAGACTTCTTCAATGGCTTGAAAGTATATTACTCCTTTTAATTTAGCTTCATGCTTGTCTGCAATGGTAGATGAGTGTTAAAACAAATACTTTATCACCACTGATGGACAGGAAAAGTTATAATTTCATTATAACTATCATCATTAAAATATTTATCTAGCATTTAAATTATCTAAGATGAATTAAGATAACCTAGGTTAGTACATTAGCCACACTCTATCCTGAAAAAAGAAAAAAAAAAAAAAAGGTTGGAATTAGCAACCTTAAACAAAAGAGACTAAGTGACTTTACTCAAGGCTCTTCACAAATTAGCAGTCAAAAGGTAACCCAGAATACTGACTGTCAGGTTAGCACACAAAGTGTAAACACCATTGACATCAAGATAAATTATTTCCCCACATTCTCCAAGATAGTAGTTGTAATGAAAATATTAATAGGCAGCTCTGTTGCAATGAAATTTGTAACAAGTGTGTTTTTTGATTTCTAATTTAAAATAAGATTCTACTTATGTTTCTTTCCTATCAAATTTCTTGTCTAGTATACTTGATATTTTATCCTGTTCTCAACAGAGTTTCATGTCAATAATTTAATGTCCTTTCAGTGCAGCGTTTTCCAAACCGCTTCCAAAGATTTCGTCAGATTTGCCATAAAAACCAAACAGAGCATAAAACAAAACAAAAAACAACCAAACCACCGACCAAACAGCATCACTCTGTGGTGCCTAATAACACCAATATGTTCTTGAAACATTCTGTAATTTAAACTCTGCAGGAATGATAACACATGCAAGCACATTAAAGAATCTCAAAATGATGGATGAGGATACAGAGAAAGAGACTCTATCATACCCTGTTGGTGGAAATGCAAATGAGAAAGTCTCTTGTGGGAAGTCAATTTGGTCAAACATACACAATGAAAAATGCCAGAATTCTTACTCAGCAATTCTGCTTCTAAAACTGTATCGTACAAGACCTACTCCTGCACGTGCACGTGTATTTGGGTTCGTTAGAGCACAAGCTGCAAAAGATCTGCTGGAGCTTTAAAAGGGAACTGATCTAATGCTAGACCAGCCGTGCACTGCAGTCTACACAGCCACTGAAAAGACTGAGGTAAATCTGCAAGTGCTCAAAGAGAAAAACCTTGAAATACTGTTATGTGAAGAAAGGTATGAACAGAGTGAATAATTTGGTCCTAACTGTATTAAAGAAGAAAGAATACCTATATAGACTGAAACATACATGAAAAGGAATGGAGTAAGTCTGAAAGGATATTTCAGGCTTAACAGTGTTAGAAAAGGTAGAACTTTTGTGATGGGAAGAGACTTACTTCCATTATATAGACTTAATTCCTAGGGAAACTCTGTTTTAATTAATACCATGTTTGGTGGGTTTCCACCAGTTTCTGTGAAAGAGGAGGTCCATGTGTCTCTCAAACATTTGGTGGAAAAGGTCCTGCAACAATGAATTCATGGGAAAACAATAATACTTTGTTTTTTGGAAACAGAGGTAAAATAAAATCTGGAGATAAAAGTAAACCTTGTCAGTGTTTCAAAGCAGGCAGAAAACTGGGGAAGAAAACTTTTGTTTGTAGGGGACTTCAGATATGAGAAAGAATCTGAAAAATACAAGCTGAAGAATGAAATACAAATCCCAGAGAAAAGGAGCAGAAAAGAGTGAAGCTGTTTTGTCTGAGTTATTTTAAAATTTTATTTTTGGAAAATTCTGGCTGAGGTTGTCTTTGGAGACTAGCATGTAGCGAAGTTTTGTTTATGCATTTTGCAGACACTAAATTGGCATTTATTACATAGGCATCTTTTCTATTGTATTAACTAAAGAGACTGTCTCTGGATTCTTATAAAACCCAAGGTCAGAAAGCCCAAGAGAGGCAACCTGTGAGGGTTAGTAGACCATTTACTTCAGGCCACTCGCCCCTGTAGCAACTGGAACCCCACCCAAAGAGCCCCTAACTGAAAGGCATGCACCCCCTGCCCTTTCCTCACCCCGATTCTGGGGCTCCACTGCCACTGTTTCCTTTCTTCCACATGCTTCTTGGTTGCTCACACCCCTATTCATAAACATACCCTGACCTCACACTACAGATTAAATGACTGGACTGTTATTTTTTATTACCTTGATACACTTGGTAATAATTCCCAACAATGCTCATAAATGCTGA